CTCTCTCTCCCTCTCCCTTCCTCTCTGAAATCAATAAAAATATAAAAAATAAATAAAATAGAATAACAGGTTTCATTATAGCCTTGAATGTGGATAACATTTCTTAATTAGAATGTATAGGGTAAGGAAATGGTTAAAGGACCAAATGGTAAGAGGAAGGAAATGAGGCCAACCCATTGGTCAGGAATAGGTTAAGGAATTTACTATGAACAAGAGGAGAAACATCTATTCCTCTGGGTACTGGAGGGAACAAAAGGGAAAAAAAATAGCTGCAAATGAAAATAAGTTTGCATATCGGAGGTGGTGGTGGCCAGAAATTAGAAGGGTTATCATGTATCACTTATATGAAAAATCTAAAAAGTCAGACTTATAAAAAACATTTAAATGGTGGTAACCAGGGGATGGCGTGGGGGAGGGAAATAAGATTGATGGTGTTTAAGGTACAAACATGTGGCAAATAAGGGTACAAACAAGTAGTAAATAAGACAGAGATCTAATGAACAATAAAATGAATATAGACAATAACATTTTACTATAATTATGTAATGTGATAACACTACAATGTTTATTATATTATAATATAGTAGAGGCCCTGTGCACAAAATTCGTGCACGGGGTTGGGGGGAGGTTCCTCAGCCCAGCCTGCACCCTCTCCAATCCGGGACCCCTCAGGGGATGTCTGATTGCCTCTCGCAATCCGGGACCGCTGGCTCCTAACCTCTTGCCTGCCTGCCTGATCGCCCCTAACTGCTCCCCTGCTGGCCTGATTGCCCCTAACCGCCTCTGTCTCGCTCTGCACCCGGGACCCAGGATTCCCTCCTCCGGCCAGTTGCAGGCACTCAGGACCTGGGCTTTTCTCTCTCTGGCTGACTGCAGGCACCCAGGACCCGAGCCGGCTTCTCCCGTGCCGGCCACAGCTGCAGGGGACCGTGGGCGGGCGGCTTCGCCTGTGCCATAGCCACAGGCACCTGGGACCGTGAGGCAGGGGCTTGTCCCTCTCCTGGGCCGCAGGCGCTGGTGCCCAGGACCGTGGGACGGGTGGCTTGTCCCTCTCCCGGGCCGCAGGCATAGCCACTGGCGCCCAGGACCGCAGGGCAGGCGCCTTGTCCCTCTCCTGGGCCGCAGCCTGGCTGGTCCCCATTCCTCTCTTGCAAGCTCATTTGTGCCTGGCTGGTCCCCATTCCTCTCTCCCCAGTGTTGAGTGTCTGAGCCGTTACTGCGTGATGGTGTGAGGATGTGATGACCATTTGCATATTAGTTCTTTATTATATAGGATACATATATCAAAATAACGTGCTATATACCTTAAACTTACGCAGTGTCGTACATCAGATTTATTCAGTAAATTCATCTGAACCTTCAGCAAGTCATAATCTTTTCGCTGGTAGAGAGTCTTGGCTCAGTGCTGATGAAAAGGAAATATCTATGAAGCACAACAAAGCAAAGTGCAATAAAACAAAGTATGCCTGTAACACAAAGAAATAAGAGTTCTGACATTGGGTTTTATACTTTAAATCTCATTTATTTTTAACTTTTTCTAAAACATGTGTGAAGACACTTATACTTCCTTTTGACATTTCTTGGGATTTTATTTTATGAAACATTTATTGTTTTTGAACTTACAGAATCAAAAGTACCAAATGTAAATCACTAACTTCTCCTCATGTATCTACTCCCAGAAATGACATTGAAATTTAAAGTAAAGCAAGCTAGTTATTTCTCACTTATAGTCCTTAGTAACAAGTTCTCAAACTTCTATCTATAATAATAAAAGTGTAATATGCTAATTAGACTGGACATTCTTCCGGACGACCTTCCGGATGAAGCTGGGGCTGTGAGGGAAGCCTGGGTTCCGGGTGCCTGCCGACAGCCAGGGGGAAGCCCGGGTCCCGGATGCCAGAGGGAAGCCAGTGCCGGCAGCTGGGGGAAGGAAGGCCTACTCTTGCACGAATTTTGTGCATCAGGCCTCTAGTCTATATTATAAAAACCCAGTGGCCCTAACGCCGTAACGACCAAAGACAGGTCACCAGGAAGCTGTGTGCGTGGCAAGGTGCACGTGGGTGGGCAGGGCTGCGTGTGTGATGAGGCACGCGTGGGTGGGCGGGGCTGAGTGCGTGGCAAGATGTGCACGGGTGGGTGGGACCGTGTGCACGCTGTGAGGTGCGCATGGGTGGGCGGAGTTGCGTGCGCAGCGAGGCACACACGGGCAGGCCGAAACTTGACTCTGGGTCCCGCAGCACAGTGGGACTTTACTCTGGGTCTCGCGGCACGGCGGGACTTGGGGAAGTCCCACAGCGCAACAGGGTTTGGGGTCCCAGGTCTCACGCAATTCCCCGCGGGTCTGGGTCTCGTGTGACTTCGCACACTGGGTCACTAGTATGAAGATAAGATCAAAGGCTCTGAAGTCAGACCTAAGTTTTAAATACCATTTTGAGCACTTTCAAGATTTTTAGCCTGGATGAATGGAAGATGGATGCAGCCACATAAGTAGAGAATGCTGATTTTAGTATAGGAAATTATTTTATTTGGCTTGGATATTTTGAGTTCACATGTTGGATCAGGAGCCAGGGGAAGATGATCAGCAGGCATTTGAAATATGGATCTTTGGAATAAGGTACCAGTTGGAAATACAACTTTGGAAGTTGTCTTTATAGAGATGATATTTGAAGTGACAGGAGAAAGAGGTACCAAGGAGAAAGAGAATAAGAAAAGCAACAGGACAACCTTGGAAAAGTTGCATACCAGCAAATTGGATAACCTTGATCAAATAGACAAATGGCTAAAAACATTCAAGCTACCAAGACTAAATCATGAAAAATAAAAAATCTAAGAGATTGAAACAGTAATCAAAAAATTCCCAACAAAGAAAGTCCAGGACCCAGATGCTTCACTGATGAATTCTACCAAACCTTCAAATAAGAATTAACACCAATCCTTTTTAAATTCTCCAAAAAAAATTGATTAGGATAGAACACTTTCTAACTCATTCTTTGAGGCCAGCATTACCCTGATACCAAAGCCAGATAAAAACAGTACAAGAGAACTAAACTAATATCCTTTACAGATGTCAATGTAAAAATCCTCAACAAAATACTAGCAAATCTAATTCAGCAGCATATATTACAAACATTACACACCTTGACCAAATCAGATTTATTCCTGAAATGCAAGATGGTTAACATACAAAATCAGTCAAGGTAATACCATCTATAATAATAAAAGCATAATATGCTAGTTAGACCGGACAGCCGAACGACCTTCTGGACGTCATTCCCGACTACCTTCCGGACGAAGCCTGGGCTGCAAGGGCCAAGGCAAGCTGCCGCGGCTTTGAGGGCCAAGCCCCTTGCATGAATTTCGTGCATCTGGCCTCTAGTCTTAACAAAATGTTTGGATGAACAAAATGCTATATATACATACAATGGAATATTATTCAGCCTTTAAAGGAAGGAAATCTGACACATGGTACAACATAGATGAACCTTTAAGATATTGCGTTAAGTGAAATAAGACTCACAACAAAAGATGATTCTACTTTTATGAGATACCTAGAGTAGTCTAATTCATAGAGACAGAAATAGGGTGGTTTTTAGAGCCTGGGGGAGGAGAATGGAGAGTTAGTGTTTAACAGGTACAGAATTTCATTTGGGAAAGATGAAAAAGTTATGGAGATGGATAGTGGTGATGGTTGCACAACAATGTGGGTATATTTAATGCCACAGAACTGTACACTTAGAACTGGTTACAATGGCAAATTTTATGTTGTATATATTTTACCACAACCTTTAAAAAATCTATTACAAAAAAATAGAATTGGTGTAATCTAGATTTCCTTACTAGCTGTTTTATTGCTGTCCATCTGTCATTCATTAGTTTGAACAGGCTTTTACCATTTAGCTGTTCACACACCAAGCCAGTCCTTGTCACAGTGTTTCTTCTAGTTCACTGCAATTTAAGACTGTGAGGCCCCTCTTTGAGAAGTCAATGTGCTACATTCATTCAAGAATATTCTATCAAGCAGATGCATTTGAGTATTTCAAATTAATAAGGGAGACAAAGACAAGGCAGGTAAGTGATTTTTAAAATAATATTATAAAAGCAGCACATGCTTATTGATAAAAATGCAAATAATTCAAGATATACAGAATATAAAGTAATGGTCCTCTTTCTCACTCCTCAGGGGTAACCATTGTTAGTAAATTGATATAAATCCTTCTAGAATATGTGAATCATGTTTTATCAAAAATAGGTTCATGCCAATCTGAAAAAGGTTTTAAGTTTTTTTAAATATTTTTATCTTCATTGTCATCATCACTAAGATTTAGTGAGGCCTTTGTTTGTCAGAGTGCTTTACAATCATCAAATTTAATCATCACACAAATCTTATAAGGAAATATTTTCATTTTTCAGATGAGGAAAATTAAGTGCAGAGAGGTGAAATTACTTGACCACAAGCACATAACTACATAACTAATACGTAGTAAAGCTAGTAGTAAAGCTGGATTTGAAAAAATCTGCTTGACCACAGATTTCATTTTTATAATTTATTTGCCTAAAATTGATAGTCTTTCATGTTCATACATATTGAGCTACTTCATTTCATTTCATAACTGACTGTATCTCTTGTATTACCTCTTCCTTTAAACACTATTTTCTTTAACATTCCAGCACCATGTTTGATTTTTCTCATACCCTCTTGAGCCCCACTTCCTCAGTCTCTTTTGTTAGGTTTCTCTATCGCCAGGCCTCTAAATATTAGAGTTTTTCAAGGCCTTATGTGCTTTTTTTTTTAAGGTTTGTAATGATACAGATTTAATAAACAGAGTAAATTTATCTATCAGATAAATCTATTACACCTGATAATTACAGAATATACATTGTTTTCAACTATACTAGAAGGATTCATAAAACCTGGCCACATATGAGATCTATCAATTGAGAGTGAAATCCATTGTAACAGAATCTTCCCACAAGAGTGGTTTAATCCAGTTTGGAGCTTATTTTTTTTTTTTTTCATGTTACATGAAGTCCAGAAACAAGCAGCCCAGGGTTGGTACAGCCAAATACTATTGTATGTCCTTGCTGTATAATCAGTAGCCTATGACTGCCATCCTTTTAGTTTATTTCAAGGTTGCTCCCTGTATAAGGTAAGTTGAGAGTTGTGCCTAAAGGCTTTCACCATTGGTCACAATGAGGTTTCTCTCCAGTGTGAGTTCTAGATTAAGGAATGAGGTGTAAAGGACCACTTACAGCTAGCCTGTAGTCATTTCATTCTTAAAGTTTTTGCCCAATATGTATTTGCTTGTGCATTATAAGGTTAGTGCTGGTGCTAAATGCTTTTCCACAATGAATACATTTATAGGGCTTTTCTCCTGTGTGAGTTCTCACATGTACCCGCAGGCAAGAGGAATTCCTAAAGGCCTTCCCACATTCTCTACATTCATAGGTTTTCTCTCCAGTGTGCATTCTCTTGTGCACAATAAGATAAGAGCCCGAGCTGAAGGATTTTCCACATTGATCACACTCATAAGGTTTCTCTCCAGTGTGAGAGCGTCGATGTTTCTTAAGGGATGACTGATCAATAAAGGCTTTCCCACAGTCGCTGCATTCATAGGGCTTCTCTCCAGTGTGGGTTCTCATATGTTTTTGGAGGGAGAAAGGAACAGTGAAAGCCTTGCCACATTCCTTACAGTCATAGGGTTTCTCTCCAGTGTGAGTTCTTTTGTGCACATTAAGATGAGAGCTCTGGCTGAAGAATTTTCCACAATGATTACATTCATAAGGCTTCTCTCCACTGTGTGATCTCACATGTTTCTTAAGGGAAGGGTGAAAAATGAGTATTTTCCCAGTCACTACATTCATAGGTTTCTCTGCAGTGTGAAGTCTCGCACATTTCTGAAGGGACAAGGGGCCAGTAAAAACCTTCCCATGTTTATCACATTTTGAGCTTCCCTCCTCAGTACATGAGATTTTGTGCACCCTAAGGGAAGGTCTTTGTCCATAGTCACTGCATTCGCAGAGTTTATCTCCAACAGGGTTTTGCACTTGTCCGTTTTTATGCCATTAGAAGTTTTTTCCTCAGGAACATTCTGCATAGGAATTGCATGTTTTGATTTAAGTTGAGTAGCCCAGCCTGAAACTAAACAGGCCCCTTGGAGAATTCTTCTCTTCCCTGGCCTCAGTGCTTCCTGTCCCACTTCAGTGATCAGACTGTATTTGCAGAGATATCCTGCCACGGAGGCCAGGTTCCTAAAGTTCTCCATCATCACATCTCTGTACAGGATTTTCTAAGCAGAGTTCAGGAGTGCCCACTCCTCCTGGGAGAAGTCCACTGCCACTTCCTCAAAGGTCACCAAGTCCTGTGACCAAGATGTCAGCAATCCTGCACCCATTCTTCCCTTTCTGTGTCTCCCTCCTCACCTGGCAGAGTTCTGAGCAAGCAGAGCTGAGAATAATGTGTCAGGCATCCAGTGATAATCTTTTCCCCCTTGGACTTCTCTTCATGAAGACAGAAAAAGTCATAAGGAGAAAGATCAATGGCCAGCATCCTCTGAGTCTGACAGAGGAACCTGCCTGAACACTTCTTGCTCCCAAAGTCTCTTTAAGAGAGTATGTTTCAAACTCAGTTCCTCTTGATTAAGTAGTAATGGGAAGTCTTGCCTCAGACCTTCAATCTTTAGGCAGCAGGCATTAGTCATCAAACTGCAATAACGGACACCCCTGGTGGGAACAATTCCACGGAGGGCGCACCGGGACCGACGGAAGTGCCAGGCTGCTGGGGACAGGGCACCCTGAGGCCGAAGTCAGCGATGCGAAGGATGGAGATGCTTTTCCTTCTGAGGGAAGGGCACAAAAGGTGATTGAGTTGGAGGCTTTTGTAAAGGGGAGGAGGCCGACCCGCCCGCTCGCAGCTGCTGTGGGGACCCCGCAGGCCGAGCCCCTCCGAGGGGGAATCGCCCCGGAGCGCCCCCCGAAGGGCCGGGTCAGAACGCGCAAGGCGAGCCCGTGTGACCCCGCTTACCCTTACCTCCCCTTATGTGCTTTTTACTTTATAGTCTTATATAAGCTATCGCATCTTTTCCTGTGGCTTCAGATACCTATAAGAATGACTCCCACATTTATCTTACTCCAGACCTGCCCTCTGAGCTCTAGACTCATATATCTCATTTCCATTTGGATGGCACATTAAATTGATGTCAGACCTGAACTTATATATCCATTCTTTTTTCTCACTTACACCATTTCAAAGGAGTGAAGAGTTTTATAAGTTGCCTTTTTATGTATCCTAAATTACCTCACAAGTTTTAAAGGATGATCCCTCATACTACTATTGATCATCAAGTATATTTACATTCCCTGACCCCTAAATACTGTTTTTCTCTTTTCTATACCAGATTTTCCATTGTTGTGCCTAGGCAGTCCTGCCACTATGCCTTTAAATTGTTTGTCTTAGAACCTCCTATCTAAGTGTCTAGTAAATTGTTACATACTTTAAATTTATATGTAAATCCTCTTAGCCCTACAATGTCAGCATTGTGAGCCCATTTTCAGATGAAACTGATACTCAATAAAGTTAGTTTTTCAACCTAAGTGGCAGAATCTATACCGAAACTAGGTTTATGTGACTCTAAACTTCATATTCACTATAATAACCTGGATAAATCATAGCCCATTTCAGGCTTTCAAACTGTTTTCTTCCTCTTGCTATGACCCTAATATAGTCTCCTCTTTTCTTGGATGAATTCTTATTTTGTGATCTATACATCTCTTACCAAAAAAGGGTAGAATATAAAGCTGTTAATATTTCTTTCATTCGTCCTACAAACAATTTAGGATGTGCCAGGCACATAATAAATGCCTGGGATTCAAAAATAAATAAAACATAGAGCATGCACTTAAAGCAGTGGTTCTCAGCCTTCTGGCCCTTTAAATACAGTTCCTCATGTTGTGACCCAACCATAAAATTATTTTCGTTGCTACTTCATAACTGTAATGTTGCTACTGTTATGAATCGTAATGTAAATATCTGATATGCAGGATGGTCTTAGGCGTCCCCTGTGAAAGGGTCATTCGACCGCCAAAGGGGTTGCGACCCACAGGTTGAGAACCGCTGACTTAAAGGGTTCACTGTCTAATATTGCTTATTCTTCTTTTTTCTTTGTGTAAGCATTCATATGTATCTGCACTAAGAGGTTTTCTGATTTACAAAAAAGAGGAATGTTTAAATCACAATAGCTCCTGACATAGACAATTCTAATACACTTACAGAATAAGAGAAGAGACTATTACATAGGGCAGTGATAGAGTTGGCTTGGCCTCTGAATTAGTTATTGTAGAGGATAAGCTGTTGTTACGGAGAGACCAAGAAATATTGTGGCTAAATCAGATAGAAGTTTGGTGTATCTACACAATGGAATACTACGCTGCTGTAAAACGGAAGGAACTCCTACCATTGCAACAGCATGGATGGACCTGGAGAGCATTATGCTAAGTGAAATAAGTCAGTCAGAGAAAGATAAATATCACGTGATCTCACTCATTTGTGGAATATAATGAACAGCATAAACTGATGAACAAATACAGATCCAGGGACAGAGAAGCATCGATCAGACCATCAAACCTCAGAGGGAAGATAGGGGAGAGTGGGGGTAAGGGGGAGAGATCAACCAAAGGACTTGTATGCATGCATATAAGCCTAACCAATGGACGCAGACACAAGGGGGCGCGGGGGGGTGGGGGGGGGGGGGAATGGGGGAATAAGGACACATATGTAATACCTTAATCAATAAAGAAAATATGAAGTTTATTTCTTGCTCAGATAACAATTCAGAGTTGAGTAACCAGGGCTGGTAGGCAGGTTGAGAATCCTTAAAATGTGGTTTGTGTCTCTGGAATCACAGTGGCTGCTCTATATGTTACTATTACCTGCCAGTGTGCTTGGGGGTCAGGGGGTGAGAAAGAAAGAGATGGTCCAGAATTTGTACAGGTTACTTCTGTTCACATGCTGTTAGTTAGCACCTAGTTACGTGGTCACACCTCGTAGGGGGGAAGGCTGGTAAATATATTCCCTAGCTGGATGACCATATGCCAAGATAATAGTTTATATTACTAAAAAAGAGAATGAGAATGTATATGGGGAAATAGCAGTTTTGCCACACATCTTATGGCTGACTAAGCTAAATTTGCCCGGAGAGTTTCCAATATCACAGGATTCCATAATGTGGAATTAAATATGTAGTAAGTTTTATTAAGTTACTCACTTGTCCATTTCTGCCACTGTTCTATGGTAGAAAACAAATATATTTAATAAAGAGTTAAGTACCTTCTATTTTTTAACCAACTTTCTAAGAGAAGAATCAGTAATAACGTAATAAAAACATCTGAAAATTTTAACACTGCCATTTAAAAGTCAGATTACCATATTCACATATGATTACGTTACAGAAAACTTTCTATAACTGATCTGCTTGTTCCAGGATCCTTTGTATTATGCAATCAGAAAATATAACTCTCCTTGTTAAGAAGAAAAATATAGAATAAAGTGAATTTGTCTCTTCCTGCCCAGTTCTTGATTAAAAGAGAAAAATCAACGTCTTATAGAAAGAAAGAAATCATAATTCTAAGATAGTTCAGGTGCTGTGCTGTAAATTGATTTTTCTTTGTACTGATAAGAAAGGTGAAAGATACTAACCAGTGAGTTCACAGTGGTCGGCAAACTGCGGCTCGCGAGCCACATGCGGCTCTTTGGCCCCTTGAGTGTGGCTCTTCCACAAAATACCGACTTCTGCGCATTGGCCACGAAGTTTCAATCACACTGTACGTGCGCGCCTGCACGTGGTATTTTGTGGAAGAGCCACACTCAAGGGGCCAAAGAGCCACGTGTGGCTCACGAGCCGCAGTTTGCCGACCACTGGTCTAAGGTAAAGACCTCAAATAAGACTAAATTTGACTATGCTCTTTTTATCTTAAATTACAGATCCAATACTGTTTTTCTGACAATAAATGTAAATTCTTAAGGACTATCTTGTCAGATTATTTTTCTCTAGAGCTGGTCTTGGCCCATCTGAAATGTTATCTTGGCCAGAAGGCTTATGTTACCTCTAAAGTTTGTAAAACGTGTTTTAAAAGGATTGCATGAAAGCATAAAATGCCTTTATTGTAGGTACTATTTTATTTTTTTAATGCCTTTACTTTTACTTAAGATGTAAATTATCTCATTGTTTACCACCCTTTTATTCCTTTCTGTGTTCCCAAAAAACATATTTCTCTGTGTAAAGTATTGGTGGGAACAGAGCAGTTCATTCTATATGTTTTTTCTACTGAAACTACTGATACTAGAATAAGGGTGCTTCTGGCTGTTTCTAATCAAAGCCTCACTTCTTCTATTGTACTGTTAGTACTTTGCCATAGACTCATTTGCACCTATCAGAATTTAAAATGTATCCTTTGTTCCAGGTTTTTATTTCCAGAAATATGTCCTGTCAAAACTTTTAGACAGTTATGCTAGGTTCAAGAAGATCCACTAATAATTAGAAAAATTAAAATTCTGATATTTATTCAAAACTATTTTGAGCACCTTACTTAATATAACAGAAACTGCTGTAAGTATTGAGTCTGCAATGATAAGCAGACACGCTCCCTGCTTTGTGGAATGATGGCACAGTCTAGCAAAGCAGAGACTAGTCAATCTCAGAAATGTAAAGTTTCAAAGTCTGATAAGTATCAGGAAGAAACTGTTATTAGATTGTCTACTTCACCTAATCTAAGAGGTCCGAGAAGATAATCTTTATGAAGTGATTTTTGAAAGGGCTGGGTTGAGGAGGGTGTTGCTTTCTGGGTATAAGGACCTGTGTTATAAAGACCCATTGGCCTAAAAGAACTGAAAATATAAGGGAAATAGTGCAGTGAGAAGAGCCAGGGGCAAGACTATGTAGAGGGTTAGAGGCCATATTGAGAACTTTTGGTTCTTTATTCTAAGAGCAGTAGGAAACCATTTAAGATTTGGGGATGGGAGGGGGAGATTTGGTATTATGGTTAGATTTGCATTTTGCAAAGAACACAGTAACTAGTGTAAAGAGAATGTATTGACTGATAGATTTAAGGAGAATAGGTAGGCCATTGCAGTAGTTTATTAAAGTTGTGATGGCTTGAACTGTGATGGCTACATTGAAGGTGAAAAAAGGGATAGATTGGAAAATATTTAAGATTAAAATTGACAGTAATGGATTGGCTATAGAACAAGTATAGATGTCAAGTATAGTTATAGCTTTCTGGATAGACAGTGTTGCCAGATACTGAAAGAAGGAATACTAGCAAAGGACCTAATTTTACAGGCAGCAGGGTGGGGTGGGGGAACAGTGAGGTGGTTTGAGGGAAGGTAATCATTAATTTTGAATAAGTAAAATTTGAAATGCTTTTCTAGTAGCACTTGGCCACATAGATCTGGAGGCCAGAGGAGAAGTCTGGACTAGAAGAAGAAATTTGAGTCTTGCATATAACCAGCCACTGGGGATGAGATTGTCTAAGGCAGTGGTTCTCAACCTTCCTAATGCCGTGACCCTTTAATACAGTTCCTCATGTTGTGGTGACCCCCAACCATAAAATTATTTTCGTTGCTACTTCATAACTGTAATTTTGCTACTGTTATGAATCATAATGTAAATATCTGATATGCAGGATGTATTTTCATTGTTACAAATTGAACATAATTAAAGCATAGTGATTAATCACAAAAACAATATGTAATTATTTATGTGTTTTCCGATGGTCTTAAGCGACTCCTGTGAAAGGGTCGTTCGACCCCCAAAGGGGTCACGACCCACAGGTTGAGAACCGCTGGTCTAAGGGAAAAGTATATAGCAAACAGAGGACCTCAGTAGAGCTAGATATACTCACATGATATGCCATAGTGGTTATTTAGGGGCTTGATCAGGCAAACCTAGATTCAAATCCCATCTCTACTACCTACTTAGAAACTTTGGGCATGTTATTTTATACCTCTTTGTGCCTCCGTTTTCTCATCTGTAACCTCCTCAGAAGATTAGTGTAAGGAATAAATGAGATATAAAGAATATATAGCTCTCTGATTTTGTTGCATAGT